AAAAGTGATTTATGACTGTTTTTCATGCTTACTACCTTTGGAGCATCCCCGTGGTCAGCTGATTAAAATTCAGACGTGCAGCAACTGGCTCATATTTATGACGTTTGCAGCGTCCCGGGGTCATGTGATCCCCTTTTGCGACCCTCTGACAAGCAAAGTCAATGGGAAGCCAGATTCATTTAACAACCTTGTTACCAATTTAACAACTGCAGTGATTCACTTAACAACTGTAGCAAGAAAGGTTGTAAAGTGCGTCAAAACTCACTTAACAAATATCTCACATAACAACAGAAATTTTGGGCTGAATTGTGGTTGTAAGTTGAGGACTATCTGTATTTTCGTTAAAAAAAAACATATGACCGAAAAAACTAAGACAGGGATCACATCTTTGATTATGATGCTCTTTGGAAATTATTCAGCCAGGAATTTAGGAATTAAATAACAGCATAAGATGCAACATATGCCCTGTGTGTATGTGTGTGTGTGTGTGTGTGTGTGTGTGTGTATGCAAGTTTACAGGTGATATAACCAAAATAGTTCTTGTAAACATTGGTTTAAACTTTTTGCTAGTCTGCCTGAGGCACCAATAACCAACTATAGAGGTGAATCTTTTTCCTAATCTATCCATTTTGATTGTTAGATCTTCATATTTTGCAATTTTCTCCTATTTTTTTCAATAAAGTTGTCCCTAAGTATTGCAACATCAACAATTACTCTGTTTTTAATCACTATTATACCTGCTGTGCTGTATTCTTGATGGCAGCTATTATTATTATTTGGCTTCATATCCATCTTTTGACATCTGAAGGTTTTATGGAAGCTTTTGATAGTAACTGACAACTGCCATCCACTTCGTGTCAATGCCAGACATAAATGCGTCATGAAGCGAACGGTGTCTAGAAATGGCTGACAGCTGAGATGCAGGTAACTGTAGCATTTGGCTGCAGGGTTTAATGGAACAAACTACATTTGGAAATATCATTTAACCAGTCAAAAAAGTTAGATCCTGCGCAGAGACATCCAGTTGCCCTTCCAAAATATTTCTACTATAGATGTTGAGATCAAATGTGCGTATTGAGAAGCCCAAAATTGCACCCAACTTGGAAATCTAGACAAAGAATCATTCTAGCTGTACATACAGAATTGGAAGGGACCTTGGAGGTCTTCTAATCCAACCCCCTCCATGAGCAGGAGACCCTATTCCATTCTGGATAAATGGCTGTCCGGTCTCTTCTTTCTTTGCTTTTGGCAGTTCCAATGATTTGACTGCTGAACCCATTGAGACTTTCTTGATTTATTGATAGGAACAGGGCTCAGCCTATAAACAATGCACTATTATAATCTTCCCAGGCAGAGAGATGAATCAAGTTTGGATAAAAACCCAAGTCTGGCTTTCAGAATGAGTCAGTTATATCTAGTAAGAGAGACCAATGGCACATCCGGGAAAACACAGTATCCTGTGGGAAATAAATAAATAAAAAGATGTCCAGGAAATTTAATCTATGCCAGAAATGCTGTGTTTTTCCATTACTGATTTTTTTTCCAAGAGATTTAATTTTGCTTTGGTGCTAAAAAATATGCAATCTTACAAAAGTGGTTGGGTGAGAGTAATAGGTGCTTTTAGTTTAAAGTCCACAACCATCTCCACTCCTCCTTTTCCAGGTTCAGAGGTGCTTCCAAGTCCCCTTAGCAAGCCCATTGATCAGGAATTGTAAATTCATAGCTCATGAAGCAGTTAAACCCTATCCTTTGTCTGAAACTCCAGAGCCACAAGATTGCATTGTTAAAATACAATAAAAGATCAGAAAATGGAAAAGCACAGTGGGAAGGGGCTTTGGAGGTCTTCTTCTTCAATTTCCTGCACAAGGTCTTCTCTGCATGCTTTCCAGAGTTGTCCTGCTTGTTATTTGGAGACTCTCACTCTGGAACCTTGTACCCACCTTATACCAGTTTTCTTTATTGGCACAGTAATAAAAGAGTTGGGTTAGATTTAACAGAATAATAATAATAATAATAATAATAATAATAATAATAATAATAATAATAATAATAATAGCCTTTATTGTCATTGTACATCATGTATAACCATTGTACATCATTGTACATGATTGCATTATACATCAGCAAAATCGTGCAAACTGATTACAAAGCTAGACATGATCGAGTTGCTAAATTAATCCACTGGTCATTATGTAAAAAATACGCCCTACCTGTATCTGAAAAGTCATGGGAGCACAAAATGGAAAAAGTTACCGAAAATGAGACAGTGAAGATCTTGTGGGACTTTCGAATACAGACAGAGTGTCATTTGGAACACAACACGCCAGATATCACAGTTGTCGAAAACCGAAACATACAATTTATTGCCATCCCGGTATCAGGAGATGCCAGAGTCAAAGAAAAAGAACTGGAAAAAATCACAAAATATCGCAACCTGGCCATTGAAACTATGCGATTATAGATGAAACATGTAACAGTGATACCTATTGTCATCGGGGCACTTGGTACCATGTTCAAGAATTTTATAAGATACATCAACAAATTGCAGCTTCCTGCAATAACACCAGTGGAACTGCAAAAAACTGTGCTACTCGGAACATCATATATTTTAAGAAGATACTTGGTTGATACCTAGGATGCTGGCAGCAACCCATATCAACCATTAGCACCAGTCAATGGTATTTGTGATGCATTTTTAAATGTTCAGTTGACGGAGTTTCATGTTTAATAACTACAAGAATAACAATAGCCTTTATTGTCATTGTACTTCATGTATACAACAAAATTGGTTTAGTCTCTACTGGTGCAATCCATAACAGAAAACACAAGACAACATAAATAGTATAGAGCCGTGATGGCGAACCTATGGCACGGGTGCCAGAGGTGGCACGCGGAGCCATATTGGTGGGTACGCGAGTGTTGCCCTAGCTCAGCTCCAGCGTGCATGTGCACACCGGCCAACTGATTTTCAGGCCTTCCGGTCCCACCGGAAGTCGGGAAACTGGCTGTTTCCGGCCTCCAGGGGGAATGGGGAAGGCTGTTTTTGCCCTCCCTAGGCTCCTACAAAGCCTCTGCAGCCTGGGGAGGGGGGAAAACGGTCCTACTGGGCCCACTGGGCCATCGCATGCCAAAAGCAGGAGGAAGTGTGTGTGTGGGGGGGTCACATGCGCATGCGCGGGAGGGCGGGGTGCATTGAATTATGGATGTGGGCAAACGCACCCGTGACCCCCCATGCTCCCCCCGCTTTTGGCACGCGACGGCAAAAAGGTTAGCCATCACTGGTATAGAGAATAATCCTTATACAAGTAATTGGGGAGAAAAAAAACCTAGTCATAGGTTTCCATAGGTATGTGGAGTGATTGTGATAGTGTTTAGGAGTCTGACAGCCCGTGGGCAGAAGCTGTTTTTAAACCTGTTCGTCTGGCTGGCTATACTTTGATGTCTTCTGCCCGATGGTAAAAGTGAAAAAGACAATGGCCAGGGTGTGAATCATCCTTAAGTATCTTCCTTACTCTGCTGAAACAACCTGGCAATGTCATCCAGTGGTGTTAGAGGGCAACCAATGTGCTGAATTGATCACTCTCTAGTGCCTTCCTGTCCGCAGCTGTTAGAGCAGCGTACCATACAGAATGTGAGGACACTTTCTATCATGGACCGACAGAAAGAAGTCATCAGCCGTTGTTCCACCTGATTTTTCCACAGGACTCTAAGGAAATGAAGTCTCTGTTGAGCCTTACTAACCACCAGGAATGTGTTGTTTTTCCAGGTGAGGTCTTGACTAATGTGCACTCCCAAGAATTTAAAGGAGGAAACCCTCTCGACACACACATCCCCTTTGATATACAGCAGGGCAGGTTCCTCTCTGTATTTAGAGTAGGAAGGGACCTTGAAGATCTTCTAGTCTAACCCCCTGCACAAGCAAGAGACTCTATACTATGACTCATTACAACTTTCCATTAAAAACAAAACAAAAAAACCACATCTAAATCACCAGGGACAAGCTATTCCATAGGGTGGGGGTGTCCAGAGAAGGCTCTCTTCCTGGACCCCAACAATTGAACTTCTTTAGTCAAAGGGGTCCATAATATGCCCTCCCTGCTTGCCAGGAGAGATGGATCAATGAAATCAGGATGAGATGGTAACCTGGTCCCATGCCATGTATAACAGAATGCCAGAGTTGGAAAGGACTTTGGAGGTTATCTAGTCCAACCCCTGCTCTTGCAGGAGACCTATACTATTTTTGATAGATGGCTGTCCAGTCTCTTCTTGAAAGCCTCCAGTGTTGGAGCACCCACAACGTCTGAAGGCAAATTGTTCCACTGGTTAATTGTTCTCACTGTCAGAAAATTTCTCCTTAGTTTTAGGTTACTTCTCCCCTTGATTAGTTTCCATCCATTGTTTCTTGTCTTACCTGCTGAGGCTTTGGAAAATAGGTTGACCTCCTCTTCTTTGTGGCAGACCCAATCACCCCATCCTTCTTTTCACTAGATTAGACATACCCAGTTCCTGCAACCGTTTTTCATTTGTTTTAGCCTCCAGCCTCCTCATTGTCTTTGGTGCTGTTCTCTGCACTCTCTCCAGAAACATCTTGCGTATTATTTAGTGACCTTCTCTCTGGATCTTGTACTTACATTACACCAGTTTTTCCTGCTAACGGTTGGGAAAAGCTGCCATACTTTTTGCAGGCTATGAAGTCTAACATGATCATCAAACATTATTGGTAATCAAAAACCCTCCAGATTTGCAACCTTTAAAGAAAGATGTCAACACCTTGGAAAGAGATTCTGTAGCAGTTTGCAATTAAAAGTTACAATTTAATTGCTTAAAGCAAACTAAGAAATGCCTACATTAAGATGCTTTATAAAATGCAAAATAACACCAAGAAGATTATTAGCATTAGCATATTATTAAAAGGCCTGGAAATATTTTAAAAACAAATATAAGCCTGGCACCAAAATGACAATAAAGTCCATTGAAAAAACTTCTACAAGGAAGATTCATCAGATCAAAGCCAATTTATTCTAATTTTGAAAATAAGGACAGTGATGTAACAGTTCCTCAGAAGGAAGTTCTAAACCATTTATATCAGGCACAAGTTTGCATCTGAGCTAAACTCAAATATTTTACACATGTAACGTCTATTCACAGCAGTATGGAAAAAACTCTGGTTTTGATCATTTAGGGGGAAAATCCCAAATAACACATTGATATGAATATTCATCTTCCCTCCAGGTTCAGCACCATATTTTGATCAGGATGGTTTGTTGGCCACAATTTCTCTTGGACAGCTGGACTATCTGGATCAGTTCCCAGTAAGTAGCTAAAATTCTTATCTCTCCTGCCAGGATAGCAAATCTTGATGTCATTTCTGAGGAAAACGAAAGCAAGCAAGAGGAAAGTTAGGCCTACGTTCAGAGTAACTCAGCTCTTCTTTTCATCCCTGAGAAGCTGAGTTAACATTTTATTATTTATTTAGAAAATTTATATGGCCGCCCAACTCTCTCCAGGTGGCTTGGAAAATCCCAAATATAAAACCCAATAAACCTCCATCCCTCCCAGTGACAGCAATTGAACCAACCATTTGATGGGCTCCCTATCACTCCATACACACCAGCCAAACCATGTCTTCAGGGTTTTGCAAAAGTGTCAAAGTGGGGGCCAATTTTATCTCCACAGGGATGATGTTCTAGAGCAGGAGTGTCAAACTCAAGGCCTGCAGGTAGGATCCAGCCCCTGGGGCATTTAGATCTGGCCTGCAGGGCCGCCCTGGAAACAGTGAAGGATCTGTCTGTGGTGCCTCTGCCAGTGAAAACAGAGCTCGGGAGAGCTGTGTGCGGCCCTCACGAGCTCCATTTTCACTGGCAGAGGGTTGCAGGGGGCCGTCGCAGCCGGAAATGGATCTTGGGAGCCTGTTTTCACTGGCAGAGCACTTGGGCCACCAAAGGCGCCCGCCGACACAAGTGACGTCAAGCTGGCCATGCACCTTGGCCACACACACACCCTGACCCCACTAGGTCAAACACAACCCTGATGCAGCCCTCAACGAAATTGCGTTTGATACCCCTGTTCTAGAGAAAGGGAACCACCATGGAGAAGGTCCTTCTTCTTGGTCCCACTAAATGGAACTCTTTAAGAGAGGGGGCCCATAACATCCCCTGCCTCCCTATTCTGGAGGGTCGGGTAGCTGTAATATCAGTGAATGCACTGCAGTGCCTGGTACTTGTGTGGCATTAATGGTTTTGTTTGGGATTTAAGCCATATGTATCGGTTCCAGTGAACAGACTTGGAAAAATAGGAGTCTTGGTAGTACAGTGGTTTAATGCACCCTGTAATTAACACAGCTGCCTGCAATTTCTGCAGGTTCGAATCTTCCCAGGCTCAAAGTTGACTCAGCCTTCCATCCTTTCAAAGGTAGGTTAAATGAGGACCCAGATTGTGGGGGCAATAAGCTGACTTTGTATAAATATACAAAAGTATGAAGGCTATTGCTTATCGCATTGTAAGCCGCCCTGAGTCTCCGGAGAAGGGCGGCATATAAATCAAATAATTAAAAAAAATTGATTAGATGGTTAGCAAGATTGCATACAGACCAAGACCTTTAACTCTTTCCCTCACTGTACATAAAAGAAGGGAGGGATCATTTAGATTGTCTAAGATTTTGGACGAGCAGGCCCCCAAGCAGCCAGGGAAGTGATTGAAGCCCCTCCTCAGTTAGCAGGGGTGCTGATTTACCCCCAGCTTATCAAGTACTTAAGAGGTGAGGGCTTGGCAGCACAAGGAAACAACAGCCAATGACTTAATAGCTAGCCATCAACTCTCCAATCTATATCTAAAAAGCTACACACAACAGGTACCATATAAATACCACACACAGAGCAGTCCGAAAGCTCGGACTGGTCCGGTGGATTCCTGCACGAATCATTTAGTACAGGGCAGGGGTGAAATCCAGCAGGTTCTGACAGGTTCTGGAGAACCGGTAGCGGAAATTTTGAGCAGTTCGGAGAACCGGCAAATGCCACCTCTGGCTGGCCCCAGAGTGGGGAGGGAATGGAGATTCTGCAATATCCTTCCCCTGCCACGCCCACCAAACCACACCATGCCCTCCAAGCCACACCCACAGAACCGGTAGTAAAAAAATTTGGATTTCACTATTGGTACAAGGGTATCTGAGTGGTGTGATTAAAAAGTCATGATGGTGGCCACACAGTGGTTTAATTGAAGCTCTGACTGGTTTACCTGCATCTATGGATTTTAAAAAAACCATATCTTGCCAGTGCCCTTGCCACAGTATCAATGCTTTGGTATAAAGGCAGCTAAAACTTTTCCTGTTGGTGTTAGCTTAGACAAGATCTGTTGGTGATAGTTAAGAGAGCCTGTTAAAGCAAGAAGCCTCTGTAGGTGGCAGGTCCTTTCGGTCTTGTCTAAGCTGGAAGGCTCAGCAGGGCTGGGCTGGTTCCAACCAGGGTGGATAAAAATCAATGATTTTTTTTAAAAAAATCAAAAAAAGCAGATTTTTTTGATTTAAATCGGATTTTTTTTTATTTAAATCAAATATATTTTAATAAAAAACTTTTGGGGTAAAAATCTATCGTAAGATAGTTTTCTATTTAAGATACATAAATAATTTAGTTTATTCAGCATGAAATGGAGCTTAGTTATGTAGGATGAGGCTGTATATTCTGCAACACTGGGACTATCGGTGAGTCAACAGTGGGTCAAAGGAGTAGCAGAGATGACAGTTGCTCTTTAAAAATTATGACTTAAATCAAGTTGATTTGAATCAAGCCTTTTTACTAGTGATTTAAATCATGATTTAAACTGTGATTTAAATCAACTCGATTTAAATCAAATCCACCCTGGTTCCAACACTTCTTGGAATTGTTCAGCTTATAGAGCAGCCTGAGAAGGCAGAAGCAATTCATGGACTTCATGGAAAGAAGCAAGACTAGCCCCCTTGTCCTTGATGGTCTCCATGAAGTCACCAAGACTTGAGTTTGACCCCACAGGAGTCTTTAGCAAGAAACTCTTCTAAAGATCTAACAGCATATCAGTTGGAATACATCTGGTACAGATAGTCCTTGACTTACAATAGTTCATTTAATGACAAGTTATAACGGCACTGAAAAAAGTGACTTATGATTGTTTTTCACACTTATGACCATTGCAGCACCCTCGTGGTCATGTGATCAAAATTCAACCGCTTGGAAACCTGACTCATATTTAGAATAGTTGCAGTCTCCCAGGGTCATGTGATCCCCTTTTGAGACCTTCTGACAAGCAAAGTCAATGGGGAAGCCACTCACTTAACAACTGTGTTACTAATTTAACAACTGCAGTGATTCATTTAACAACTCTGGCAAGAAAGGTCGTAGAATGGGGCAAAATTCACTTAACAAATGTCTCACTTAGCAACAGAAATTTTGGGCTCAATTGTGGTCTTAGTCGAGGATTACCTGTATTACCACTATGACCACAAATGGAGGGGATCTTGGGCTGAATCAGAACCAAGCCATACAGGGCTTTTTTTATCTGGATAATTGATCATCAAAGAAAAACAATATATGGTGCTTTATCAGTTTAAGCAGAATTTGGAATTGCATCAGTGGTGAAATGTAAAATTTGTTACTACCAGTTCTGTGGGCGTGGTTTGATGGTGGTGGCGGTGGGTAATATGACTGAGTGGGCGTGGCCAACTTTTTTTTTTTTTAACTTTTAAAACCATTTTTTCTACAACCTCTTCGTCTGGGATCGTCAGAGGCTTTAAAATGCTTTTAAAGCTCTGACGATCCCAGCTGACTTGCCTGATCTTTTTTTCCTTTTAAAAACATTTTTTCTATAACCTCTTCAGCCGAAGAAGTTGTAGAAAAAATGCTTTTAAAAATAAAAAAAAGGCTCTGATGATTGCGCGGCTCAGCTGGGCAATAGGGGGGGGGACGGGGGCAGGGATTTTTGCTACCGGTTCTCCAAACCACCCGCCTCCATCGCTACCGGATCAGGTGATCCGGTCCAAATCGGGAACATTTCATCCCTGAATTGCATCCTGAAAACTACTGGCACCCAGTGCCAGATTTACAATATTAGTCCTATATGCCAGTAGTATATTCCCCCTGCTGAAAATGGGGTGCTAATTTGCATAAGCTTCAGATTCCGAACAGTCTCAAAGGCAGACCAATGTACAGCACATGGCAGTAATCTAGACAGGTCAAAGCAGGTGTCAGCTCCAGAACATCCCACTCCAGATTAGGCTGCTGCTGGTGCACCTGTTGAAGTGGACAAATTTGTTCCTGACACAGCCTCCAGCTGCCTGTCCAGCATGCCTGGGAGTTCAAGAGGACCCCAAACTGAGGACATGTTCCTACAGAGGAGTGCCATCCATTAGAGAGTTTAAAATGGTTTAAAAGAAACCCTGAACAAAAAGTTTAAATTATCCTTCCTCTATGCCTCTCACCTTGTTACTTCCTTCCCTTTCCTCCTTTCTTCCCTTCTTTTCTTTTCTTCAGGCTGCGTGGGATCCCTGCCCAGAAATCCTTCCCTAAGGCAATAATTACGCAGTAACCTGGGAGTAAGAGAGGAAGCATTTTTCCCAACTATTGTTGCTTCTGTACCTAATTGAGTACCTGCAGCAGATGTTCAGATAGAATTATGCAAATGAGGGTCCATAGGGGGAAAGGGGGGGGAAAATAAAATTGTGCTGGTTGGTTCCTACAAGGTGGCTGCCAAATAAAGACGTATTCATGAGCCTTAAGTATGGCATGATGACATTTTTTTCTCTGGCATGTTTACTTATTTCTGCAAAAACTCTCTTTGAAAGGTAGTTGTTCCAACCAGAGAGAATGACTGTCTGTTTTGGATGGATTTTGAGAGAGAGAAAAGACAGAACTAACCTTTTTAAAAGGTGCATGGGAGAAAATTCCTCTCAGTGAATCACGTATATCAGAATGTGGCTCCTTGGACCTTGTCCTTAAGGGCATATTAGGTGAGGTCAAAGTGGAAAAGGCTGCACCAGTTGAACCTTCATTCCTGGGAAGTGGGAGTGAGAAGGTTGGAAAAGAGACAGGAACTTTATAAACATACACATAGATACAGACACAGACTATTCTTCTCCCCTAGGACAGACACAAAAATAGATACAATAAAGTTCTCATTTCATGATCCTATGAATTCAGACATGTTATTTTGAATTGGGCTATCCTACCAGATATTTGGCTGAGCGCCAAAGAATTGAGGCCTTTGAACTATGGTGCTGGAGAAGACTCCTGCAAGTCCCTTGGACTGCAAGGCCATCAAACCGGTCATCCTAGAGGAGATCAACCCTGACTGGCTACCTAAGGAGAAGGAAGGACTCCCTGGAGAAGAGCCTAATGCTGGGAACGATGGAGGGCAAAAGAAGAAGGGGACGGCAGAGAACGAGGTGGCTGGTTGGAGTCACTGAAGCCGTCAGCATGAGCTTAAATGGTCTCCGGGGGATGGTAGAGGACAGGAAGGCCTGGAGGAACGTTGTCCATGGAGTTGTGATGGGTCGGACACGACTTCACAACTAACAACAACAACAACAACAAATCCTATCAGATAGCCAGAGAGCCAATAGCTAGACTAGGAAATTGAAAGGATAGTTGAAAGGATACTACTAAGAATTGTGGGTTGGATTGCTACTCACAACTCACTCTCAGGTGGATTATAAGAATAAAAACACAATATAAAAACAATTAAAAAGTAATAATTCCCCAGTCACTTAAATCATTTACTCTCTCTGGGGTAATCAGGCCCATTGGCAAACCCAGGAAAACAGTATCAAAGTGGGGGCCAATCTTACCTCTATGGGGATGATGTTCCACAGGGAGAGAGTCACCATGGAGAAGGCCCTTCTTCTTGCTTGTGCTAGATGGACCTCCCTAGGCGAGGGGGCCCATAACATCCCCTGCCTCCCTGCTCTAGAGGGTCGGGTAGCTGTAATATCAGCGAACGCAAGGCATGCCTAGTACTTGTGGGATATTGATGATTTTGCTTTCGGTTTTAGCCATATGTATAGTTCCCAATAAACGGATTTGGAAAAATATAGGTCACAACAAAATTGATTAGTTGATTAACAAGAATGCATACAGGCTCAGACATTTAACCCTTTCCCTCTCTATACAAAAAAAGAAGGAAGGAAGGAATCATTTAGTACAGGGGTATCTGAGTGGTACGATTAAAAAGACATGATGCTGGCCACAAGGTGGTTTAATATTTTTTTTTTAATTTGATTTATATGCCGCCCTTCTCCAGAGACTCAGGGCGGCTTACAATGCGTTAAGCAATAGCCTTCATACTTTTGTATATTTTATACAAAGTCAGCTTATTGCCCCCACAAACTGGGTCCTCATTTAACCTACCTTAGAAAGGATGGAAGGCTGAGTCAACCTTGAGCCTGGTGAGATTCGAACTTACATTGAAGTTCTGCTTGGTTTATATCCAGCTATGGCAAGGGTGTCAAACCCATGTCGTTACATGACATATTGCAACTTTCCCATTTGTTAAAACAGGGATGGGAGTGGTCAGTGCGTGATGCATCCAGCCCGCAGGCCAAAAGTTTGACACCCCTGATCTATGAATTTTTGGTAACTTGCCAATATACTCCTGCCATGGAATCAATGCTTTGATAAAAAGACACCTAAAATTATCTTTTTCCTGCTGTATGGTGTTAGTTAAGAACCAACATCATGTTTAATTGAAAGCATGTTTAGGATTGGATAGATGTGATGAGGAAAAGATGGTCCATCAAGTACACTGATCCCAAGCCAAGCCATGTTAAGGTTCTGCAGGTGATAACCAGTATCTTGAACTGGACCTGGAAGCAAATTGGCAGCCAATGCAGTTCCTGCAGGAGAGATAACACCTGTGAACATCTGGGTCTGCACCAAATTATGTGGGCCATTGCATTTTGAACGAATTGAAGCTTCTGGATACTTTTCAAGGTGACTTTTCAAGTCAACTCCTGACTTGACTATTGCAATGTGCTTTACATGGGGCTGCCATGTAAAGCACATTGCAATAGTCAAGTCAGGAGGTGACTAGGGTGTTGGTCATTGTGAGCAGGGATTGTTGGACCAGGAAAGGTCATAACTGGCATACAACCCATAGTTGCACAAATGTTGAAGAAAATGTTGTAGCCATTAGTGCCATCGTTGAATTAAGTCATACATTTTGATGTCTACCCAGAAACCTGACATTTGGCATCTGGGCAGTCAAACCACTTGGCTATCACCATCAATTCCGGCCCTTCAAGTTTGATATACAAGTGATTAGAATAATTTCTTAGTTGGGTGGACAGCATGTACTTGCTAAGGATCATAAATAATTTTAATGAGGTTTTCCTTGCTGGTTTTTTAAGAGGATGATACGAGTGATAAATCTGGGAGTCCCAAGGGTGTCACGGTATTCTTACAGATTTTTGCTGTAGCGGCTTTATTATTTATGTTGAATAATAATTTGCTCTCATTTCAAGGCCAAGATTTCCCAACTCATCCTTTACCTTGAAAGTTTGGGGGAAAAGGAGGCCAGAGGTGTCCCCGAGGATTTAAGCACTACTCCCTTTTTGCAATGCAGTAAAAAGGGTGAGACTTCGATCACCTGGTTGTGGCTACTATCTTAATTTTTCCTCCCAGCCTCTGGACACCCAGAAGAGGCTTCTGAAACATAATTGCAACTTTGACAAAGACAACTTTTTTTAAAAAAAAGGAGAATTGCACAAAAAACCAACTCAGTGTAGCTTTGCATTTATTTTTCTGCATTCATAGTGCAATAAATGAAAGTCAGTAGTACAAAGCTTGTACTATAGCAGTGATGGCTAACCTTTTCCAGACTGAGTGCCCAAAGCGTGCGCGCCTAAACCCCCAAAATGCAATGCGTGCACGGCCCCCCCATGCATGCTTTCATGGCTTGCCGCATGCATGCGCGGCAGAGACCTGAAGACCAGCTGGCCAGCGGGAGGCACGTGCGCATGTGTGGCGGAGCTGAACTGGGGCGACGGCTCATGTGCCATCAGAGAGGGCACTGCATGCCACCTCTGGCACATATGTCATCGATTCACCATCATGGTACTATATAGTGTTGTAGTTAAGAAGAAGAGACAAACAGGCTTTGCATCAGTACAAGTAGTCCTCGACCCACAACAGTTCATTTAGTGACCATTCAAAGTTGCGGCATAGAAAAAAGTGAGTTATGATCATTTTTCACACTTACAATTGTTGCAGCATCCACAGGGTCATGCGATCAAAATTCAGACACTTGGAAACTGACTCATATTTATGACGGTTGTAGTCCGGGGTCATGTGATCCCCTTTTGTGACCTTCTGACAAGCAAAATCAATGGGGAAGCCAGGTTCCCTTAACAACCGGATAACTAACTTACCAACTGCAGTGATTCGCTTAATAACTGTGACAAGAAAAATCGTAAAATGGGGCAAAACCCACTTAACAACTGTCTCGCTTAGCAACAGAAATTTTGAGGTCAATAGTAGTTATAAATTGAGGACTACCTCTTACTTTAGAAGTTTTTTGTTTTTAAAAATTAACACTTAAGATGTACTTACTCTTGTAAACAAGGATGCTCATTTTCTGTTGTTTTCACTTCAACATAAAGGTAGTTCTTGACATATGACCATAATTGAGACCAGACTTTCTTTTACAAAGTAAGGTGATTGTTAAGTGAGCCATGCTTGATTTTGTGACCCTTTTTTGCCACGGATATTAAACAGATCCTTGTTAAGTGTATCATGCAGTTGCTAAGTGAATCCAACTTCCCTCATTGCTTGTCAAAAGCTGGCTGGAAAGATTGCAAATGGTGATCACGTGACCCCAGGGGGCTGCAACCATCATAAATAGCTAAGTATTGAACAAATTGGAATTTGGATGAAGATTGTCAGAATATTCATGACTGTGAAGACATGGTAACCAGCTCAGCCAATGAATAGGCATAGCAACTAAGTCAGCCAATGGAAGCTGAGACAGACTGGAGTCAGGGCATGTCTTCGTCTGCAGCTTCTGAGTCTGTGTAGAGAAACGAAACTGAAACCAGTGTGTGTGAACTTGTCTGCTGATCTGATCTGAAATGAAACTGAATCTACTGTTGGTATTGAAAACTTACTTTATGTATTATTGTGTATATACAGAAGTTAATGAATCCTGCTGCATCAGTTTATCTGTGTGTGCTTCTGGATTTGTTTTTTGCAACAAACTCTGACAAAGATGTATAGTGATGCCTTTCTCAATGACAGCTATTTAAAATATGTGGACTGGACAATGCATGACAAGCTTTGCAAAAGCTTTACTATAATAAAGAATTGAATTCAAAATTGGAACTCTTCACCAGCCAGTTCAAGGACAGAATTGTGTCTATGACTCTTGACAAAGAATATGATGTTGCAGTGCAAGCAATAAAACTGCTTACTTTTGTTTTATAGAGTAGTGAAGAAGTTCCTACTGCAGAAGACTGTGAAGATGTCTATCATCTGGTTTACTTAGCTCATCGGCCAGTGGCTGTAGCAGCAGGAGAATTTCTTTATCGTTGCAAGGACCCAGATTCTGATATTTCATAGCACCTTTCCTTGATGAAAGAAATCCATCTCTGCTTATTTCTCCCCAGTCAGCCCTGTCCTTACAGAAAGGAAATTAGCATGCTGTGGTTCAAACTCTGGAGTAGAGCTATTAACTCAGTCCCATCCTTACGACTGAACCTCCAGATTCTTGCAGTCCAGAAGAAACCCCAAGTGAGCGGTGGATTGCAACCATGAGCTGGAGTACAAGTAGGGCAAGCAAGCAGAAGAGACGGCATGGGCCAAGCGGAAGGTAGCAGCAGTCAGGGAGAGAAGGAGAGAGTAAATACCTTCCTTACAAGCCTTATCACAATGCAGTACCTCTCCAGAAAGCTCATGGATCTAAGATGAGAGCTTCAATACAGAAATAGAAAATGTGTGTTCTTTGCAGCTGTGGAACATCATGGAGATACCTTGAGAAGCTCACAGACCTTATTTCCAGTTAA